AGATCAATAGAAGCACAAGATCAATAGAAGTACAAGATCAATAGAAGCACAAGATCAATAGAAGCACAAGAATAGTGGGCATGAGCAGCATGCGGAAGGAGTGGACTAAGCAGGGCATTAGCGGCAGCATGACGGCCGTTATTGCAGCAGACAGCGGCGGTGGCGCGGCGCTGCGACGCAACGCACCAGCGACGCACACAGGAGTACCAGAGCAACAGTAGAGAGCGAGTCCAGTGTTGACATTTCAAATATTGATGAGCCCAATTACAACAATAATTTCAATTCATAAATAAGACATGATCAGCCGAGTAGTATTAACGAATGATAAGTAAAATGTGAGAGATGTGAGATTGAAGGAAAGCAAATGACAGTAAATCAACGATAATTTGGAGAAAAATTAATCACAATACATGTAAGACAAAAGTGCCAGTAGTAAAAGAATTAACCGAAAGCAGCGATAAGACGATCGTTAAGCAACGATCAACTCTCGGTCATCCGTCGTATAATAGGCATAAATAGCAACGAAATGAGATTGGCACAAAACAAGAGACGGATTAGTACCGAGCAACGACAAAGTATAATAATGCTCAATATAAGTCCGTTTAAAACAATTTAAAAATGGATCTTGCAAGGCACACGTGTGTCACAGCATATTGTAGCAAAGTGTGTTACAGCACAAGAAATAAGCGATGCGTTTGATGGATCGGGGCGGTCGTTCGTTGCCCCAATCAAACAACAGGGTCGGAGAGGCGAGAGGCGAGACACGAAACAAAAACGAGCAGAATAACACGAGGATTCACTCAAGTAAAAAAGGGGTATAGAAAAACAATTAAAAGAGAGGAATAAGAAAAAAGGTTGGAAGTGCGATGGCGTGCGAAGTGAAGTGTAGAAAAGAAAAGAGAACAGTTTGGGTCAACTTAAGACTGAAGTCTGGCAATAAGATGCCTGCCTACGAAGTCTATATAACTCGTCTTGATTACCAGCCTAACGTCAAGCATACTCTGACTGCAGATAAGGCTGTTTTCCGTATTGACAGTCAAAATGCAACCTATAGCAAACACTGTTGTAAAAATTGACATTATACGAACTACAAAAACAACTAAACCGGTTGTTTAGTCCGAACCAAACCTTCTCAATACTCGAGTGGCAAAACTATTATCATTCGATTTCACATAATTACATATCGATAGGCAATTGAGAACATCATTTTCAATGCACAGTTAAAATGAGGTACATAATTATACCATGAAAAACCAAGAAAAGGGATTTCAGTTAGAAGGGTGTTTCGTGCTGCAAAGCAATCTTCAGGGTGCGTCAGAGAAACCTCATATTTCAAGCGCTTGATTCAAAACGAAACTATTGCAGATGTTGGCACAATTCAAACTGTGTATTAATCTATATAATTCAAACAACCTCCTCACTCTTCTCACGCAGTGCAAACTAAGGGTACGTACACAGTGAAAGCAGGTTTGCCCGCGCGGGCAACCTGCTCCAACCTGCCACAAGAATGAACATAGGATAATAATGTAAGTGTTCACAGTGAAAACCTGTACGAATAGGCTTCTGTATGCTATGGTTTCAACCTGCCACAAGAATGAACATAGGATAATAATGTAAGTGTTCACAGTGAAAACCTGTACGAATAGGCTTCTGTATTCTATGGTTTCAGGCGCCAGCCTGAGCAGGTATAACCAGCACGCTGGCAACCTGCTTTCACTGTGTGCGTACCCTAACACCATAAAATGAAATTGCATGGAGCGATATATGAAGAACGCGCAGGCAAATTGATTGGACCAAGTTTGGCCATTTCTGATTATTTTTTACCATCAACAGTATTACGTTAAGCGTTGAACACGCAAAGTTAAGCGCACAATCATGACTGTCAGTAGAGGGAACGCAAGACACGCCCTCTGGGACGCATTCTCTTCCAGATGCCTCCCTTCACTTCTTAATGTTTGGCGAACTCACGAACAATAAGTTTATCTGACGCTCCCATTACTTTTAAAATAAGCCATAAATTCGCTCGCATGATGTGCTACTTGCATTGAAGATAATCAAATTAAGGAAAACATCTCCACGGAAATCACTATAAAAATTTGGTAGGACGAGGAGAAATTAAATGCATCTGAATTTTCTAGCTTTGAAACCGCCAAAGCATTAAAGGGAAACACAAAAACCAATCAGAAACGACAATGGGACAATAAACACACTCTGGCTGTTGATGAGATGGTGTATGCGGATGGTCAGATAAATTTCAAAGAGTTCAGTACTGTCGCAGACGAAAACAGTCGCAACAAATGGCAGCTGATTATTATTATTATTTATATTATTCATATTATTATAATCAATAAATTTTATTATTATTATTATTATTCATATTCTACGGAGCAGTTATCGTGGCGTCTGGTTCTAACATATCTGGCATTTTACACAAACTTAATATCCAGCAAAGAAGAAATAGACCCGAGGAAAGATGAGCACGGATAAAACTGACTAAGCACTTGATTTATAGGCTCTACGAAATAGTTTCGTATTCAAGTGCCGCCGAAACACCTGCAAAGGAGCCAGTATTACGGGAGCCGATACTCCATCGAAAATTCGGCCCTTGTCAGAATTACACCGAAAAGGACCAGATATGCACCATGTGCGTGTGCCGAGTTTCGAATTTCTGACTTACTTTTTCGAGACATGGATACGAGAGGTAGGTTAAAGGATTTTGCAAAAAAAAAGTGAAAAGTGGATAAAAAATGTTAGCCTTTAACGCATTCTAACTGACCACGTTCTTGTTTTTCCTCTTAACTACACACAGCCAGACTATTAACAAAAACAAAACATGTAAATCATCTAGGGTCACCGATAACCGTGGAATTATCCCACTTTTTTTGCATCAAATCTCTTTTTGCAAATATCCCCTGAATTAAACGTGTGCGAAACCGTTAAATCGTGCGAAAGCTGAAACATAGAGAATGGCGCCTGAAGCTACATTTTCGTGTAATTTCAAGTGAATTAATTACGTGAATTAATAAATTCAAGTGAATTACGTACAAGTACAAACTTGAACGACAACTGTCTGATGTCAAAAACTGTCACAACAACTGTCAAAAAATTAAATTTTCGTGGTCCCACGAATGTAATAAAGCATGAACCTTACGATGAACCAACCTACACGATGAAGGCACCCGATCGTCTGACCTAAGCTTCCCATTGGTCCCTCTTCCACGGACACCACTTCACCGGACGACAGTTTGATGCAGCTTAATTAGTTATTGAGTAGGTAATGCAAACGACAGGGAAACGAAATAATAATGCAAACGACCGAAAGGGTAATGCAAACGACCGAAATTTGGAATTAGCATTCACAGCATTTCGCTCATAAATAAAAGCGACAATTTAAATTTTTTTATTTGATGTCATGAAATGACAAATTACTAACATCGGGACAGATACAATATAAGAGAGTGAGAGAGAGCGCGAGCCAACAGCGATAAATAGTTAGCAATCCTATACCGAGAACACAAATAAGAAACCACAAATAATGCATCTGAAAGCCGACAGATTATCGTACATAATATAACGCAGCTATAGCTAGGCTACCGCAGCAAATTGAATCCTGATACAGCGAAACCAACCATTTCCGATCGTGGGTTCGAGGAATACCACCTATTCGGCGCGAGAGAATTTTACACGACGTTCGAGACCTCTACGTCTTAGTTCCAGGCTTGTACGTGATACTTTAGAATGCATAAGTAAGCTTTATATTCTTCAACAGCCGCAACTATCGTTAACAGAAATGCAGCATGTAAATATTTGCCGACAAATGGCACCCATAGGCAAGTCAACGATCAAATGAAATAGAGATAAATAGATGACATCACAGCAGGCTACGAAATAGCTTTATTTTTTTCAGGTACATTCGAATGAGGGATGCGGCTTAACCCTCTACCGCCATATGTCACTCTCTGGGAACATAACTTTCAACTTAAATTATCCGTAAACTATTGAGTGTAGCAATCTGAGTTCGTTTGTACGCAACAGAGAACATTTTAAAGTTGTACGTGGCGGCAACCATCAGTGCAAGTCATTTTGCGCTCACTAGAACGTATCCATTTTGGGAAGTAGGCTTGTGACAATATTGCTCCGGTTACTCATGTCAGGCGGTAGAGGGTTAAGGCAGAGCAAAGAACTTTGGGCTTGTAAACGCCACCCTGTGTCACGGTAAGTCGCCTTCATAAAAGCGAGCTGACTACGGTACGACAGAAACATCCGCAGCACAAGGAGATACAGGCATGCAAGATTAAATGAAAGTCACTTGAAAGAAAAATACGATGAAGAGGTTACTTTGTTTGAGGGAAAATGACCCAGATGGTCGTTAGATATAAATACTGAACAAAATCGCTGTCGTTTGATTAGGAAAAAGGGTTAACAAGTTTGGTACGAACAAAATTTCTGGTGACTACACAAGTTACTACACACAATACGAAACACTACAAGGGGTTGTCACTACGCTCGCAGCTGCAGCGTGTACTCAGGCATTGTATTCTACGCGCATTCAAAAATGCTGGCTTGAATATAGAACAAAGTTTTATTTATATATGTAATCAGTTTTAGTTTGGATACGATTATCTTATTAATATAAATAAATACTTTTGATCGATGGAATTGGCCAGGAAGCAACTCATGTTGGTGCTCGTGGACAATAAATGGTACCGTCAACTGGGGCGACTTCGGCCACCACTACAACAGAAACAAATGGCAGCAAAACAAAATAATAAACGTTGGTCGATGTGACTGGGGTGACTTTGGCCACCGGGAGGGGGGGGGGTGACTTTGACCAACGTTTATTATTTTGTTTTGCTGCCATTTGTTTCTGTTGTAGTGGTGGCCGAAGTCGCCCCAGTTGACGGTAAAGATGAGTTTGATCCGAAGATGGGTGGGGTAAGTACAAAAGTTAAGAAATAAATAACTTCTGAGATGAGGGTAAGATATCAAGCAGTACTCACATCCCTCGTGCGCCTCGAGCCGCTGCTGCAGCTCCCTCATTTGGTTCTCTTTACGCGCGTTCTCCCTGGCGATGTGATCCATGCGCGCTTTGGCTTCCCGCAGCTCTCTGCAAGAAGAAGACATTAGCAAGGGGCGCGACACTAGTGGTGATCTTATTTACGCACATAAATACGTTAGTACTCGTATTTACCTACTTTTAGGTTGTGAAAGAGAGACGGAACATCAATTTTTTTTAAATATATCGTTGGATTTTTGACAGGAATTTGGAATTAGTTACAAGCGTTGCGCGAGCACATGGACCTATTCAAGTCGAGATGCAGTTATTTTACACTAGAAAATATATAGATTTTGACTTAATTAGTGCAAAATGCTGAACAGATATCTAGGCTTGAAAATTCGTTCAACTAGCAATACAGCTTCATTTTAAATTACTCAGAACTAATATCTAGGCCAGGTAATCTAAATTTATTGTAGTCTTTTTCATTTGCGATCACAGTTAGAAACAATGGTTTAAATCTTGTACAAAATATGTGGTATAAAATTAAGCATACATTTTCACATTAAACATAATCAGAGTTAGCAAATTTCATTACAGCAACATTTTAATTATTTAGAGCGATATTATATTTCTAAGATTTTACAGCGTCAAAAATTGATATATCATTAATTAAACTGAATAAAGACCAACGGTTGACACTCCTACTACAGAAATTTAGACTCAATGGAATGCTACGATAGCAGCTGGTGGTCACTAAGACCACTAAGTAATCATTTCAGAAAAAGAACCTACACACTTGCATATCGTACAATTGTATAGGTTGGAGCTTTGCGCACTACTGTAACCAAATTAAGCAATCGGCTTGGAACGTCAGATGAGTTAGAAGACTCAACAGGCACAAGGCTCATTTCTGGATTGCGAAAACTGCACAATATTTTTTAGCCTTTCTCGAATTCATTCATCAGAAAGCCTCATTATCATTCGACCGCAGGGAAAAACTTGTACAGAAAAAAGTTGGTTCACACGATCGAAATTAGAGAGAACAACTCGCTTCTGATGAGCTATGAGCTCAGCACAAGAAACAACTCACTGAAAAATATAACTCAGTACTCACTGCAGTGAGTGACAGAGAGCGCATTTTCTCGTCGACGAAAACATGAAGTCACGGACAGACGGACGGACATGGCGAGCACAATAGTGCATTTTTTCCATAAATGATAAAATGCGCTAAGAACTCACTTCTGATGAGCGATGAGCTCGGCCCTGACTTTAGTGAGCTCGTCGCTGATGTGTTGCTTGGCTTGGATCTCCGAGTTGAGGCTCGACTGCAGGTTCAGCAGCTCCATCTTGTCTAGCTTCTGCGAGCGCCGGTTACGCCAGTTCTTATCAACTGGACCTGTAAGAAATATAAAAGAAATAATTACAAATTTTTATCAAGACTGCACACATTCGAGGTTAAATGAACACTCACACCACATACAACTCTTATCAACTGAACCTGTAAGAAATAATTACAAATTTTTGTCAAGACTGCCTACAAAGGTTCAATATCAACTGGACCTAAAAGAAATAATTACAAATTTTTATCAAGACTGCCTACAAAGGTTAAATATCAACCCACATACGACTAGGCACATAAATATATCATTATTTTCAAATGAAAAATTTTAGAACAGATTTGCTAATGCCTGAACCTTGCAGAGAACTACAATTTTTAAGATATCTTAAGTGAGTATAAAAAATGGCGACATAAGAACGATGACACAATATAATCAATTCAATCTCGTGTCCATCTAAATTAGAGGAAAAGAAAAGGCACAATTTCATCGACAACAATAAAGTTTAATTTTCTGAGCTAAATTCCCAAACAAAAGCTGGAACAAAGAACACACAAATACCATCCAGACTAACCTCGCAGTACAGATGGTCAGCACATAGCAACTCCACCCTCACACTAGCTTGGCACCTCACAATAGCTTGGCACCTCATAATAACAAGACGCTTGGCAATGGCACAAGCTTGGCACCCCACAATAATAAGATGCTTCACAATTGCGATGCACCTCACGCTCAAGACAACACGACACATCGCGTGTGGCACGTAACAAGATACACGACACGTCACATACACCACATGACACACCACACGTCACACACTCCACACGTCCCACGTCACACAGGTCACGTCGCTAACACAAGACACACGTCCCACACGTCAGGTCACACACACCACAAGACGCATACCACACGTCACAAAAGCTACGTCCCACGTCCCACACGACCCACTCTACACGTCCCACGTCCCACACGTCACGTCACACACACCACAAGACACACGTCACACTCTACACGTCACACACGTCACAAAACACACGTCACACTCTACACGTTACACACACTCCGCACGTCCCACGTCCCACACGTCGCTAACACAAGACACACGTCCCACACGTCACGTCACACACACCACAAGACACACGTCACACTCTACACGTCACACACGTCACAAAAGACACATCCCACGTCCCACAGGTCACGTCAGGTACCGAGGGTGGTAGCGGCGGTGGGGGCGGTGGTGACGCCGCTGACTTTGAGGCCCTCGAGCTCCTCCGTCATGCGCGTCGCCAGCGCCTGCAGGTAGCCGCGTGCGTCCTTCTCGTCGCTCACCCTGCACATCACACATAATTGTACATCATTAGTACTCTTCTAAGAAGAGAAAAAATCTTTTAACACAAGCGCGGATAAAAATAAGACACGAGTCTTATTTTTAATAAGACTCGATTCGACTTAATAAGACTCGAAAATAAGACAACGATATTGAAGACGACTTGACGGCTACTGACCACTGGATGATCTCAGTGATCTGAGCCTCCCACGCAGAGATGGACTCCTTCTTCGCTCTGAGATCCTCGTACTCTTCCTCCAGGCTACGCCGCTCTGACTGCATTCGCGTCACGCTCTCGCTTAGCTGAGGAACATTTGTTGTGTTATGTACAGTCACAAGTTGGGGTACATTCAGTTCGCTAAACAGTCGCAAGTTGAAGTACAGCTGAGGTACATTTGTTACATTGCGTGCAGTCACAAGTTGGGGTACAATCATTACGTTACATAGTTGCCAGTTGAAGTTTAGTACAACTGAGGTATATTCATTAACGTTATGTACAGTCGCAAATTGGAACACAAATGTTGATCGTTAGTCCGTTTCAGACATTTGATTATATCACATGCAGTTGCGACTTAGAGTGTAGATTTTTGTCTTCTATGTCAACAGTGACATAAAAATTTCAAATGGCCTTCCGTAGTCACAACTTTGAAGACTCAATATCTTATATTTAGAATGAAACTTTTACTGCGGAGAGTTTAGCAAATTGATGGATAACCCACTTAAATCAACACAAAATCAAGTGTAAGTTACAATTACAAATACTCTTCCTGAATAAGACCAACGTCAGCGCTAATAGAAATATAAAGTCAATAAACGTATTATCTGGGAACTCTCCAAAAGAATAACTATGTGATAAATTACTCCAGAGAGTAAAATTCCAGTTCTTATAGAAAGCATTCTATGAGAGGCCGGACCTTCTCAACATCGGCGGCAAGTTTCTTGTTCTCCTCCGTAAGTAAAGTTTTCTCGCGCTCATGTCCCCTCTTGAGCTCTGTGACGGACTCCTCCTGCTCCTCAGACCGCTTCTCCAGCTCACTTCTGAGCTGCTCACAGCGCTTCGTCAGCAGCGTCACCTGAAACATAACACGCGATGTTATTATCAGGTTTTGAACTTGTTCCGATGTTGGTGGTATATGCTCCGAGATAGAAGTGACTTACAGACACATTTATGACAAATTATTAATAAGTAACAGACTGGCAAACCTGACAGCGTTGCAATGAAATAGATTAACAGAAATCCGATAAAAAGCGACTACTGCCGAAAAAAGTTCTCACAATAGAACGTCTTGGCTAGCGAATTAAAGCTTGTATTCCTTTTACCAACACAAAATGTACCGATTTTGACGCATCAGTCGAGAGCAATTTAATCATGAGATTTAGAACTGCACTATGCTAAAAATTTAGACAAAACACGCGCAGGTATTGACATAACAAAGTACCTAAATTAGTAAACAAATTGAACTAATTACCTCGTTACTGAGCCTGTTGCGCTCGCTCTCGGCGTCAGTGAGCTGAGCTCTGAGCTGCGTCAGTTCAGCGCTCGAATTAAACTGATTAAACTAATTACCTAAACGAATTGAACTAATTACCTCGTTACTGAGCCTGTTGCGCTCGCTCTCGGCGTCAGTGAGTTGAGCTCTGAGCTGCGTGAGCTCAGCGCTGTGTCGCGCCGTCTGCTGTTCCTGCTGCTCGCTGTACTCCAGGGAACATCGCTCCAGCTCAGCCTTTATCCTGCGAGCAAACATACCTTCATTAAAAAAACAAATGGAGAAACAGTACCAGAGTTAATACGTCAATATATTTGATGTTAAAATAAGATCTGAGATTGAATCGCGTACGGCTGGTCTTGGTGCAAGTTTTCCTTATTAGTTACATAAATAATAATGAGATTATCAAGAGACTTTTGAACAATCAAACTTAGCACAAAAACACTGACGAACGCCACGGCACTTTATAACAGACGGTCACGCTACAAATTACCGATCTTGGCGGGTTTAGAATCGTTATCACTAAGTAACAGAACTTTTATAATGTTTTTTTTTTCGCCCGAGATTTAGAAAATAAGAACATGGAGTTGTGTGGGCGCACATTGATTGTTTTCGCTCCAGACATAGAGAACAACAATATGGAGTTGTGTGTGCACCTATTAAGCTCCTGTTGGTCAGAATAAGGAGCAGCGCCGTCAGAGGATCGCTTGCCAGGGAACTGCTGGAGCTTCTCGAGCTCGGCCTCAAGTGAGCGCGTGTACTCCTCGCTGCGCTCCCGCAGCTTGCGCTCCTTGCTGCTCTCTGCCTCAGCCTCGTCCAGCCGCACCTGCACCAGCCAACCATACTCATTAAGATTATATAAATTTATCCCCTAAAGATGTCAATATTAAAATATTAGAAATTACTCAAGATAATTATATAAACTCAAGATTATATAAACTGCACAAGAACAGCTACTATCAGCTACGCACAACTACTGTCAACTACGTCGTAAAACAAAACGTATTCAATTTATCATTTCAACATTTTTAGAATGAATTGTTCCAAAAGTAGCGCCAATCGGTTCAACAATTACTACGTTTGATGATAGAACGAATATGGTAAAAAAGCAACACACAACAGTCACATGCCCCAAGAAGTGCCCCGTTGCAACACACAACAGTCACATGCCCCAAGATGTGCCCCGTTGCAACACACAATAGTCACATGCCCCAAGAAGTGCCCCGTTGCAACACACAACAGTCACATGCCCCAAGATGTGCCCCGTTGCAACACACAATAGTCACATGCCCCAAGATGTGCCCCGTTGCAACACACAATAGTCACATGCCCCAAGATGTGCCCCGTTGCAACACACAACAGTCACATGCCCCATGATGTGCCCTGTTCCAAGACTCGCCTCGAGATCGCGTCTGAGTTTCTCAGCCTTCCTCAGGTCCTGCCTCAGAGAGTCTGTCTTGTTCATGGCCGCCTCGAGCTCCTCTTCCTTGTCTCTGACTTGGCGTGACAGCTTCGACTTCTGGTTGCGCAGCTCGCTCAGCCTGCACCAACACAGCCATGAGCCAAAAACATAAGGTATTTTTCCTGACATGTTTATGCACCAACACAGCCGTGAGCTATTGTTCCTGACATGTCCATGCACCAACACAGCCATGAGCCAAAAACATCAGGTATTTTTCCTGACAGGCCCATGCACAAAAATACTCAGCCATGAGCTAGTATTCATGGCAAGTCCATGCACGAAAGCACTCAACTACAAGCAACAGCACCAGAAAATTTTAGTCTTGCCTTGAAAATCTCACTAGAAACCCAGTTGCAAGTGCAACATTGAAACTCTACTCGCTCTCAGCTTGCTAGAAGTGACAACAAAGTTATAAGCAAAATCACATCGGCCGCTCGCTAATTGGCAACAACCTAACAAGAATTGTGGCATTCAGCCGAAACCAGGGAGCGTGATAACACGCCTGTCAATCAAAAGCCTAAAGTTTATGAGCCTCAACTCAAGAATGGACTTCAATCCTTCAGACATTGAGTCATTTCTGATGAAACCTTTACTGGCTCGAAGTGACAAAAGCCTAAAGCTTATGAGCCTCAACTAAAGAATGGACTTTAATCCTTCAGACATCGAGTCATTTCTAATGGAAAGTTTTACTAGCTCGAAGTGAAAAAAGCCTAAAGCTTATGAGCCGCAACTAAAGAATGGATTTTAATCCTTCAGACATTGAGTCATTTCTGATGAAACCTTTACTAGCACGAAGTGACAAAAGCCTAAGCTTATGAGCCTCAACTCAAGAATGGACTTTAATCCTTCAGATATCGAGTCATTTCTTAAGAAAAGTTTTACTAGCTCGAAGTGACAAAAGCCTAAAGCTTATGAGCCGCAAATAAAGAATGGACTTTAATCCTTCAGACATCGTATAATTTCTGATGGGAAGTTTTACTAGCTGGAAGTGACGCACTTGTCAGAGACTTGAGTGTACTCAGACATGGCCAGCTTGCGTTGGCTCAACGCGTCCTGGAGCTCCTTGTTCTGCAGCTGCAGCTTCTCTTCGTAGTCGCTCACGTCCTACACAACAAGTCGAACGTTTATGAAACATATCGGTGAGAGAAAATTAGAGTAGTGTTACTGATTTAAATTAAAATATTAAGAGCTAGGATGGTGAACAAGTGAAACAAATCAATTAGTCAGGATATGTACTTTTCCAGGCAGCGAGCTTGGATTGCAATGCAAAGCACGTTGACTGCCTTGTATGACATCCAAATTTAGTGTTACGACGAATATTAGTGCTGTAGATGACAGATGCAGAATTAGTGTAGATGTAGAATGTAATATTTGTACGTGACCCACAAAAAATGGCAAACAGCAAGGTACATTAAGGCGGGTTTTCCAACCAAATCCCAGGGTTTGTTCAACCCAGCAGCGATGAGCAGCACCTTTTGTAGGTGTTCCTTCTGCGCCGTGGCAGCGGCGAGCAGCTTCTCCAGCTCCCTGAGCCGCACCTCCAGCTCAGCTCGCCCTCCAGCGTCTCCTGCACCTTCAGCCACAACTCGCTGCAGCGACTTCACTTCGCCACTCAAGTCTGCACAGACGCAAATAATATAACTCAGTACTCACTGCAGTGAGTGACAGAGAGCGCATTTTCTCGTCGACGAAAACTTGAGGTCACGGACGGACGGACAGATGGGCGGACAGACAGACGGACATGGCGAGCACAATAGTGCATTTTTTCCATAAATGAGAAAATGCGCTAAAAACACACAATATTTCAATCTGAATAAAAATGAAGACGACATGCATGATAATCCCTAATTCAACTGCCAGATCATTTACATGAAACCACCCTATCTTCATGTAAATTACTACACTTTAACTGTTACCACACAGTTTAACCATAGAATAAGGGGTTTTCGGGGTCTTAAAGCCAAACCCATGGTTTTAAACCATAGAATAAGGGGTTTTGGGGGGTTTTAAAGCCAAACCCATGGTTTTAAAACCCCTGCTAAACAGTTTCCAGTTTGGTCCGTGGCGATGAGAAATAGCGAGCTCTGGCACGCCTCCAGCCACGCTGCGCTGCTATTGGCTGGCGCGGGAGGCGCGCCTCGCTTGCCGCCTTCTCATTGGTTAACGGCCTAGCACCGAGCTTCTGTATTAACCCTAACGCATTAGGAGACGGCTTCCCGTTATAGATTTTTCCATGTCAGACTGCTTTAGTATAACTGAAAGAAAAAATTATTCTAAAGAAATGCTTTAGAATAATTGAAAAAAAATATATCGCATAGATGTAGGTATATCTTAAGACGACTGGAAATATCATGGGTCACACGTACCTTTGTTCTGTTTGCTGAGGGCCAAAAGCTGTTCCTTGAGCCTGGCGTTCTCCACGAGGTCAGCGCCCATCATCTGGCCCACGTTGGGACCCGACACCGGCAAGCTGCTGGCGATGTTGGTGAGTTTGTGCATGAGTTCTTTGTTCTCGGCCTCGAGCTGCTGCAGGCGCAGCGTAGCTGAAGCCAGCGCCCCGGCGTCGGTGCTGTCAGAGCCTCGTGTGGCGGTAGTTCCTCCAAGGAGGCTGCCTTTGTCGCATATTTGACTGGAGGAACAAGCAATATGTCAACTTTGATGTGACAGATGCCATTAATCAAATAAATCTTTTCTGCACAAACGTCTCATTGGGAAAAAACTATGCGAGCCTCGCCTGAAGCCTCTTGACGTGAAGCTAGTGAGAATAAACATCACATATCACATGAAAGAGTTGGTTAGCCAAATTATCACACACCGATGAAAGTAACTCAATTTCTGACCATTAAAATCACTGCAGTTTTTAACGTAAATAAATCAGCAACGCGTACAAATTACCTTCATGCAAATCATTTAATTCAGTACAATACAGCTAAAGGTAGGAAGATAACAGTACGTATATTGAAACAATTTTTTCAGAGATCATCGAGATTTTAGAATAATCTATAAAATCAAATCGAGTAATATAAAGTAAAACTTTGAAACCCTCGAAAATTTTGTACGTATCAAGAAACACCAAGAACAATATGAGAACAATATGAGAGCAACATGAGAATAATAACAATATGAATATGAGCAACGGAGGATATGAGCAACGAAGCATGGCACAAACCTTCCCTGCGTGAAGGAGAAGCCTATGAAGGGCAGATGAAGGCCAGAGAAGGCAGGGTTGCCGGGTGAAGGACTGCAGGTTTCCTGCGCATTTCTGGACGCCTCGCTGTCGTCGACGTCGAAATTGCTGGTGTCGGTGGGGCTGGACACCTCAGGGATGTACGGCGCTGTCGAGTGCAGGATAGTAGCCCAGTCTATGCTGCTGAACCAAGCATGTCCCTGAGCAAACAAATTGTTGCTTAGACCATCATAATGTAAACTTACAAGTGATTGTATTGTACAGGGTTATGAGATACATATTCTGACTAAGAACAAATTACGATCGTGGCCCAGTCTATGCTGCTGAACCACGCATGTCCCTGAGCAAACAAATTGTTTGTTAAACCATCATAATGTAAACTTACAAGTGATTAAACTGTACGAAGTTCCGAGATACATATTCTCACTAAGAACAAATTACGATCGTGGCCCAGTCTATGCTGCTGAACCAGGCATGTCCCTGAGCAAATAAATTGTTGGTTAGACCATCATAATTTAAACTTACAAGTGATTAAATTGTACGAAGTTCCGACATACATATACTATAATTAACAAAGCCATGGGGGGCCTATTTCTTAAGTGTCGACACTTCTATTCTACTCTGACTAAGAACAAATTACGATCGTCACCCAGTCTATGCTGCTGAACCACGCATGTCCCCGAGCAAACAAATAGTTGGTTAGACCATCCTAGAGTAAACGTTTCAGAAGTGATTAAATTGTAGGGAGTTTCCTGATACTTTTACCCTGACTTAGAACAAATACAAAAGAAACAAAATTAACGATAATTTTAATAAGTCAAACGTGTTGGTCGCCGTCAAGATCTGTTATGAGATGTCAGGATAGCGAAGTTAACGATAATAACAAAAAATGTAACTCAGTACAGCAATGAGTGACAGAGAGCGCATTTTCTCGTCGACGAAAACGTGAAGTCACGGACGGACGGACGGACAGACGGACATGGCGAGCACAATAGTGCATTTTTTCCATAAATGAGAAAATGCGCTAAAAATGAAACTTAGAAGGAAGTTCAGTAACACCATGAATCATGACGGGACGGGGGGCAACAACAAAATCAGTATATACTGCATTAGCCCTCTCTTGTTCAGAAACCGGTCATATTTGAAGAAAACAACAATGACTATTACAATTTAACTAACTATGCAAACAAAATTTTAACTCCAATATATAGGGTTGTCTGAAAAAAGGAAATTCAATAATCTCTGCAATGAAAAACTTTAAAAACTATAGATCCGTTGAATTCGTACCAACTAACCACTGACTGATCGGATGAGATTAAATGGCTACTTAGAAACAAATATTAATTGTTAGCAGCAACTGCCAGGAAGCTGACAGCATCAACAGCTTCCTGATAGCGCTGGCAACGGTTCCGACATACTAGCCGTGGCGTTACTCTGACTGGACCAAAAAATTTTCTACACAAGTGGTATGGAACGTGAGAGCAAGTGAGAGTGACACAAGTGGTATAGAATGTGAGAGCAAGTGAGAGCGAC